TATATGTATATATATATATCTATATATATATATATATGTACATGTATATGTATATATATATGTATACATATATATATGTATACATATATATATATATACATATATATATGTATCTAAATCTATGTATATATATATATATATACGGCAGGGGGAGGAGGTTCCCCGAGAGGACGTCAATCAGGATCATTGAATTGGAGAAAAAACAGTGTTTCACTGTGGTAAAATGGAGATTTTTCATGTCCTTCTTTTCATTGTTGATGCCTTTCAATTACGGATCCTTTTTTTTCGTCCGTCGAAGTTGAAATCAATTATGGACCATCACAATATGTGTTTTTTTTTGGTGTTCTTATTTTCTCCATTGGAATTACGAGGTGCACATTTTGTGCTATATCAAAGATCATTGGAAAAGGGTATAATATACTGTGTTTCCACAGGTATTTTGATGTGATGTTGTTTTCATTGGTAATTCACAGTGATTTTGCATATCATCAAAATTTCCGAGTGCTGTGAGTCAGCTGTTTTTTCTGTTTTTATACAAAAGCATGAGTACAAGACATATCAACCACTATAGAAGGCACAAACCAGGCTGCCGGCAACTTTTCATTGCCAACTCCTTGAAGCGTGCGAGTGCATTCAAGACACTTTCCAAACCAGGCTTTTTGCTTACATAGTGCACTGCTAGAACGTTGCGATGTTTACACCCCACCCCTTCACGCAAGTTACATGAACGTTTTTACACCCCACCTCTTCACGCAAGTTACATGAACGTTATTACACCCCACCCCACCCCAGCCCACCCCTTCCCCCCGCATGACTCATGCATGACAAGTACAAGAGAACTTACACTAGCGTAGCATGACGTATGCGTGACAAGTACAAGATAACTTACACTAGCGTAGCATGACGTAGACGTCACAATTACAAGAGAACTTACACTAGCGTAACATGGCATATGCCTGAGAAGTACATAACATGACTTTAGAATGACCGTAACATCCACGTAGCATGCACATCGCCTCCAATTCTACGCAAGTTACATGAACGTTTTTACATTCCACCCCACCCCACCCCACCCCTTCACGCAAGTTACATGAACGTTATTACACCCCACCCCACCCCACCCCACCCCACCCCTTCCCCCCTCGAGGAACCCCCGCCCCCAAGGGTATATATATCTAATATGTAATTTATTGTATATATAAGAATGTGTATATATATATATGTTCTAATATAAAGATATAGATATAGCAGCATGCATGATGCATGGATGGATGGATCGGATGGATGGATGTATGGTGTAGTATGTATGGATGTAGTATGCAATGTATGTAGTATGTCTGTATGATGTAGTATGGATGTATGTGTACGTATGTATGTGAGCGATTGTGAAAACCCTAGGTTCACGGAAAGGACATCCACAAATTTGGGAAGGTCCCATCGCTTACCACACGTTTGTACAATAATGATATATGGTAAACTTGGGGGGTATCGCTTGCAGGAAACTGCTGCATTTATGTATATATATATATGTGATGAACTATGAATAATATGTGATATTTGGGTATCGCTAATGTGGATATTAGAGAAATATGATGACATAACCTTGAAAAGGGGTATCGCTAATTTGGGAAGGTCCCATCGCTTACCTCGTGTTTTTAACAATTTCCATCAATTTCCATAAACCAATGTCCGTCGAATACATATTTAGTATTGCCGGGGTTTTTTCGGTTGCTCATGTATGTATGTATGTATGTATGTATGTATGTATGTATGTATGTATGTATGTATGTATGTATGTATGTATGTACATTATATATATATATATATACATATGTGCGTCAAATACACTGACAAGAACACAGATGTATATACAGATGTCTATGATGCCTCCGTTCAGGCGAAGCAACGCAACAGCATCCTGGTTCATCTCAGCCTTTTCATTCTGGTTGTACTGCAAGCCCGCAATCACTCCAGAGTAGTCATCTGGTCCGGCGCCGGGTGCGCATGAGACGAAGATGGTGTCAAATTTGCAATGCGTGTCCAAAGGGCAGCAAATTGCATAGAGGGCCAAACGCGGCTGACTCTCATGTGCTGTGCCTGCCAAGTAGGAACGTTTGGATGTGCAGCACTTGTGGGTCTCCGCACAAGTGATCTGAGCTCCACCCTCTGGGCTGCAAGTTGCTGCACTGTCGTCGGCAACCGCAACCTCGTACTTCTTGTTGTCTTCAATCTGATGATTGATCAACCTAACGAACAACGAACACCACAAATAACAAGCAACCCCCCAGTGGCTTTTCATGTTCCTTGGAGCTGGAAGTTGGAATGTATAGGTCTAAAAATGGTCCAAAAGTATCCAAAAAGAGAAACATCGCAAGAGTGCAACAGTCGTACCATGCTACACACTTTTGAAGTTGTCACTGCATGTTCAACATGAGCTGGATCTTGCCTACAAAGTTTTCCCGTCCTGTGTTCGGCAAAAACATGTACAACAAATTGGCAAATCACATTAAGCATCTCAAACTCGTGCTATACTCAACTCTTCGTGACACACGACCAACTGAACCCAAACAACCCAAACCAAACAACCCAAACAACCCCCTCAAAAAACAACACAAACAACACAAACACTAACAACCCAAACTGACATTAAGCACCCTCACCGGTACACAGATGTATATGCCCCTGTTCAGGCAAAGCAACGCAACAGCATCCTGGTTCATCTCAGCCTTTTCATTCTGGTTGTACTGCAAGCCCGCAATCACTCCAGAGTAGTCATCTGGTCCGGCGCCGGGTGCGCATGACACGAAGATGGTGTCAAATTTGCAATGCGTGTCCAAAGGGCAGCAAATTGCATAGAGGGCCAAACGCGGCTGACTCTCATGTGCTGTGCCTGCCAAGTAGGAACGTTTGGATGTGCAGCACTTTTGGGTCTCCGCACAAGTGATCTGAGCTCCACCCTCTGGGCTGCAAGTTGCTGCACTGTCGTCGGCAACCGCAACCTCGTACTTCTTGTTGTCTTCAATCTGATGATTGATCAACCTAACGAATGACGAACACCACAAAATAACACGTGCAACCTGCATTGGCTTTTCACTTTGCTGGAGTTTCGATTGAGTTAGAATCTACGTCAAAATTCAAAATCGCCAGAGTGCAACGGTCATATCATGCTACACACTTTTAAAGTTGTCACTGCATGTTCAACAAGAGCTGGATTTGGCCTGCAGAGTTTTCCTGTCCTGCCTTCCGCACAAAAATGTACAACACATTGGCAAATCACACTAAGCATCTCAAACTCGTGCTATACTCACAACTCTTCGTGACACACGACCAACTGAACCCAAACAACACAAACAACCCAAACTGACACTAAGCACCTTCACCAGTACACAGATGTATAATATGCCTCTGTTCAGGCAAAGCAACGCAACAGCATCCTGGTTCATCTCAGCCTTTTCATTCTGGTTGTACTGCAAGCCCGCAATCACTCCAGAGTAGTCATCTGGTCCGGCGCCGGGTGCGCATGAGACGAAGATGGTGTCAAATTTGCAATGCGTGTCCAAAGGGCAGCAAATTGCATAGAGGGCCAAACGCGGCTGACTCTCATGTGCTGTGCCTGCCAAGTAGGAACGTTTGGATGTGCAGCACTTGTGGGTCTCCGCACAAGTGATCTGAGCTCCACCCTCTGGGCTGCAAGTTGCTGCACTGTCGTCGGCAACCGCAACCTCGTACTTCTTGTTGTCTTCAATCTGATGATTGATCAACCTAACGAATGACGAACACCACAAAATAACACGTGCAACCTGCATTGGCTTTTCACTTTGCTGGAGTTTCGATTGAGTTAGAATCTACGTCAAAATTCAAAATCGCCAGAGTGCAACGGTCATATCATGCTACACACTTTTAAAGTTGTCACTGCATGTTCAACAAGAGCTGGATTTGGCCTGCAGAGTTTTCCTGTCCTGCCTTCCGCACAAAAATGTACAACACATTGGCAAATCACACTAAGCATCTCAAACTCGTGCTATACTCACAACTCTTCGTGACACACGACCAACTGAACCCAAACAACACAAACAACCCAAACTGACACTAAGCACCTTCACCAGTACACAGATGTATAATATGCCTCTGTTCAGGCAAAGCAACGCAACAGCATCCTGGTTCATCTCAGCCTTTTCATTCTGGTTGTACTGCAAGCCCGCAATCACTCCAGAGTAGTCATCTGGTCCGGCGCCGGGTGCGCATGAGACGAAGATGGTGTCAAATTTGCAATGCGTGTCCAAAGGGCAGCAAATTGCATAGAGGGCCAAACGCGGCTGACTCTCATGTGCTGTGCCTGCCAAGTAGGAACGTTTGGATGTGCAGCACTTTTGGGTCTCCGCACAAGTGATCTGAGCTCCACCCTCTGGGCTGCAAGTTGCTGCACTGTCGTCGGCAACCGCAACCTCGTACTTCTTGTTGTCTTCAATCTGATGATTGATCAACCTAACGAATGACGAACACCACAAAATAACACGTGCAACCTGCATTGGCTTTTCACTTTGCTGGAGTTTCAATTGAGTTAGAATCTACGTCAAAACTCAAAATCGCCAGAGTGCAACAGTCGTATCATGCTACACACTTTTGAAGTTGTCACTGCATGTTCAACAAGAGCTGGATTTGGCCTGCAGGGTTTTCCTGTCCTGCCTTCCGCACAAAAAGGTACAACACATTGGCTGATCACACTAAGCATCTCAAACTCGTGCTATACTCTTCGTGACACGCAACCAACTGAACCCAAACAACCCAAACACAACAACCCAAACAGCCCCGTCAAAGAACAACACAAACAACACAAACAACCCAAACTGAAATTAAACAACCTCACCAGTACACAGATGTATATGCCTCTGTTCAGGCGAAGCAACGCAGCAGCATCCTGGTTCATCTCAGCCTTTTCATTCTGGTTGTACTGCAAGCCCGCAATCACTCCAGAGTAGTCATCTGGTCCGGCGCCGGGTGCGCATGAGACGAAGATGGTGTCAAATTTGCAATGCGTGTCCAAAGGGCAGCAAATTGCATAGAGGGCCAAACGCGGCTGACTCTCATGTGCTGTGCCTGCCAAGTAGGAACGTTTGGATGTGCAGCACTTGTGGGTCTCCGCACAAGTGATCTGAGCTCCACCCTCTGGGCTGCAAGTTGCTGCACTGTCGTCGGCAACCGCAACCTCGTACTTCTTGTTGTCTTCAATCTGATGATTGATCAACCTGACAAGGATTAAAACTGTTGTTTTCAATGACGCTGTAAGATGTGTTCATCCTTGCTTTGGGTGTCCTTTCTCGTTCTTTACACACCTTCACTTTATCACCGGTTTTGTTGAGTTTCCACGTCTTCACAACACATCACGTGGTTGTCCATTCGATCCCCAAAGTGTCTCTGCAAATCCATATGGCTAGCCTCAAATAGCCTACAAAATACCGATCATCTTGTGTGCAATGTTAGATTTCTCAACAACCCCAAATAATGTGAAATGACAAGAATACGACTATTCAATACTATTCAGCAATCTGAAGTCCAAAGCTGACAGGCGCCATTTACCATACTTTATCTACTTCCCACCTGATGGCATGATCCTGTCGCTGCCCCCGCAAGTGGATGAGTTCTAAGCTGCAATCGCCACTGTCACATTGATCATCCATCTGCAGGACATCGTTCACTGCCTGGTTGGTTCAAAAATCGGGAGTCAGAATCCCAAGCAAAGGAAACCTAAATGTAATATAAGATATACGATATATATATATATATATTATATTGTGTATATATATATTGTGTATATTGTATACATTTATCTTGTGTATATATATATATAAATATATATTGTATATATATATATATATTGTAAATATATATATATATATATATACATAACATACATATATATATAGTGTGTATATATATATATGTATATATTGTATATATATATATATATTGTGTATATATATGTATATATTGTATATATATATTGTGTATATATATATTGTATATATATATATATTAATATATTGTATTCATTCAACAAATCAAACATCAACTTGATGATGGGAGTTGATGGTAGCTCTGACCCCACATATATACTTGTATTTTAGCAGGACGTAGGTATACATGTAAGTGGGTGTGTGTGTGTGTGCGGTAGGGGCCCACTCTTGTCACTCTCGTGGGTCAAACACCGGTAAAGAATGGGAGTCACAAATTTGGCTTCGTGCAAAGATGGTGTATATCCCAAAGCTAGGACCATTTTAGTGGAAAACATATGCATTGAATCTTCCCTTGTTTCCTTTACAAACCTATTTTTCTGACGTGAAAACAGGACCAGATGGCCCGTTGATGGCCCGATGGCTGACAGGTGTGTTGGATCCAGGATGGTCTTGCCCTTGTCTGACCAATCCATGGGAAGTGGATAGACTATACTGACTATACTGTACCAATAGCTTGTTCAACTGCGAGAAACTAGAAATCTGCAAACCCCACCATCAACAATATAGGATTGTCTAGAATTGGGGTATGTCATTATTATACATTATTATATTATATTCACCCCCATTAACATGTCCATGATATACCCCCATACATGTCCGATAAACATGCCGAGTTCATTTAGTTCAAGAACAAAATAAAATCAATGATAAACCAAATTTTAGGGTCCAGTTTCAGACAAACCTTGAAATCAGAAGAATAAGGATATGAACCGACCAACAATATGATAAATATGATACTGATAATCTTGGATATCTTGGATACACTAAGAATTCAACTGAGCTTTTTCATTTCTGTCAAAACTTCCTCCATATCGCCCCCGCCTGCCCCAGGGTGAGGAGAAACGCGGTCGCGAGGCGCAACATCGTCAGGGGCTGTAGAAAAGCGCTTTTTTCAACAGAAATCGCTGATCAAACTGGAGCCCAACCACACGGTAATCCAACATGGCTAGATGGGAAATCTCCCATTTGGATTGGAACATGATAAATGGGTAGTTGTACATTGCCAAGGAACATCTGTTGAGTTCATCTGTGTAGAAGCATTCATTGAGATGATTGTAGGAAATTTGATAGCAAACCATTCTGAATAGAGGATTATTGCATGTTTCCCCTCAAACCAGTTCTAGAAATGTGCCTGGTCTACAGAATTCAATGGAACAGCAACATCTTCATCCATCAAAGTTGGAAGACTCATATCGACTCATATCACTGCAGGATAATATTATATTATTGGATCTCCATGAGATAAGATTGCATTTAGTTCTACAATTCCCATTTCAAGCCAAGTGGCACTTGGGGAAGTTGAACCAGCACAGCGCATTGCGCAAAGCTGTGAAACCTCATGGAGGTGAAATGACCAGGGGACGGTTTAAGCTTCACTTGCTTCAATAAATGCAAACAAGACTCCTACAAGTTATGTTGCGCCGGTTTCGTTAGGTGGATAAACATTGGCAAATTCATCTTACCCTAGAGCCCTAGCTCCAAACACCTGAGACTGTATTTGGGGTTGGTTTACATCTCATGGCATTTGATGGTGGAACTTTGGGGGTTAAAACGTGTTCCGGACCGACAAAAACAACATGTGTGGGAAAAACATGATCACAATCCGGCGGTCAATCCGATCAACGCTGAGGTTTAGGCACTCTTTGTTTGACCTGGGCTGACAAGTGGATCGTTGGGATATGGTTGTTAATGGTATATTCATGGGATATTGGATCATATTGGATCATTAATGAGAACCCAGGTTTTCCCAATGGCATGACATACAGTGACATACAGGAGTTTCCAGTGAAATGTCCCCAAGAATCCACGACCAATCCAATGAGTGGATTCTGTGAATCAAACCTGTTCTCGGTGGAAAACGAGAGGAGCTAGCTTCGTATCCCATTGATACGAAAGTTTACCTACTGGTCATTCAAATTCACCTGGAAAATGGCAGATTTCATTGTGAAGCTTTCCCTAATGTTCATGGGGTTTTAAGTTCTTTTAAGATATGAACGGAAGATATACGAGATTTTCACATGGTTTCCATTGAGACATGTGGTGCTTCCGTGTGAAACTTGTAGGGTCGCGACAAAAGGTGAATCGACACAAACTCTTTGGGTGTGACCTCAGAAGCCGGACCTGGACCGGCCGGGCCCCCCATCAAATACCACGGGCCAGGAGTTGTAGATGTTTTCAGGGCACCATGAAAAATTATAAGAAAAGATGCACTGATGATTTTTCATTGTCATGTTCCCATATTGATTCCCAATGATTCCATAAGTTTCCTATTGAAATAGCCATAGATTGATAGCATAAACCCCATGTTTGGCCGCAGGACATCAACATCCCACTGTGTTGTCATCATTTCACTGGGAATTTCGACTGTTTGTGAAACATCTGGGCCCCGGAAATCTGTAGGTTTTTCCCATCATCAAATATATGGATACATGCAATTATATAGAACCTATATATAATTATATAATCATATAATTATATATACATAATTATTAAATGATCATATGTAAATTTGAGCTTTCTCTGCGTTTGAGGAGATCAATCCAATGAGTTCTACGTACCACATGCAGACTTTGCAATGTTTCATGCTGCGGTCCAGCTGTTGTTGATGCACATACCCAGCCATCTTTGTGGCGTATACATGGCAATTCATATGCTGTTTGCCTTTGTCATAGATACACACTTGTTTTTGCTAAAATAGGTACCGCCAAAAAAAAAAACACAAATCTATACACTTGTGTATTTACACACACACACACATCTCTCTCTCTCTCTCTCTCTCTCTCTCCTATACATTTGTGTGTGTGGGTTCTACTGCGAAACCACTAGGACCATCCGTGATGACTCCACTTGGCCAAAGGACGTTCAACTCCTTCGCCAAGCGCTTCTCTACGACCCCCTGGCGGATCTAATCATTTCATGATCTGATTTTCATGCCATCGCTAGTCGCTAGGGATTGGGGAAAAAAACAGCTTCAAAAACTAGAACACCCAATTACACTTAAAATAATGATAAACATGTTAGGTGTTGAGCCAGTAACATTGCAAAACCACCCACCAAACAGGGGGAACGATCACCTTGAAGAGTCGCGCGAGCATGGCATCCTTTTTGGTGGCGTTCCAATCCGGCCAGAGCGGTTGATGCGCCGGGATCTGAGCTGCAGTAGGGCTAGGGCTGGGGTGTCCAACGATATAATGTCATGTTTATATATACATATACAATGTATATATGTATGTGTTATAATATATATATATATAATGTTCAAATAATGTTCTGGGATGTTTTGCGGTGTCAATAGTGGCGAGGTAGACTCTTAAATGAACCCAGCCCTAAACTTCCAACATATTTGGAACGAAAACACAAAGGTGTCCAAAAGAGGCTCTGCGAGTCTTGACTCGTAGTCATAGCAAGTGGCATGCACTTTTTTTCCAAAATCTGGCAGCAAACTGGTTGGAGAGCCGTTAATTCGCCATCCAACCAAAACGTTTGTCACACACCTCAAAACACCCAGCACCTTCCAAGCAAGGCGCATTTAAAAAAAACATGTGTTACTTGCAAATCCTGGCACACCGAAGTGTGAGAGAGGTTCATGGCTGAAACCCCATAGATGAACCTTCATGCCGTTGAATGTCCCTTCTGCTTTGTTTTGGGGGGATCTTTCCCACAGTGTGGTGCCCCATAGTTGGCTAAGTCAATTTATAATTATAGCTTTGGGGGGAGCACCACCTGGCAGTCGTGATTCAGCTTCGAACGCAGGCGCGATACTGCACCACGTCTCGGCAAAAGGTCAATTGACTTTGCACCAGTGCCACCTATCGAGAGGAGTAGCACCCCAGAACACTGAGTGACGGCCAGTTGACTATATATCTAGCCGGCTAGCCTTGAGTTGGTACAATGTTGAAGCAATCATGTATATAATAAATCAATGAAATATAAAATTAGCAATGATACATAAACAAAGGTATATAAACATATATAAACAATTATACTAAACTATACATACAACCACAATCTCTATGAATGAAGTTGCCACCTGGGCAACAGGGGGTGATGAGACACCAGTGCGAAGTGGCTAGCTTGACCATCTGAGCATCCAGCATTCATGGGTTCCTTCCCATCATACCCACCCAAAAATAGGCCTACACTTGAGGTAAACTTCAAAATTTGCGATGTAAGTTCCAAATTTCGAAGACCAGCCTTGGAATCTCTTCAAACCCATCAGTTGGTGGAAGACCGCCGTCATGTTTCATTATTTTCATCCTCAACCGTCATCAAAGACTCTGGAAAAGCTTGTTGGTCAGTTGGTCCCCTATGAATTATATTATCATGTTTAAATTAATCTTATAAGCATTATGAAACATTATGACACCATATTCAAAGGATATTAGACATATATTAAACCATACTAAACCATATACACCCTCGCCTCGTCCAAGCAAACGCCGTTGCGACGCCCGGAGCGCGCCGGCAGTTCGCAGGAGGCGCCTGATTCCACCAGAGTCAACTATGTTGTCTGAATGGAATGATGGTGAATATGTCTGGTTCAATTTTCGATAATAATGGTTGATAATGGTTGATAATAATGGTTGATGGTTAATGTTCCTGAAATAATGATAGTGGATATAATAAAGGAATACTTCATACAAAAAAGATAGAAATAGTTGAATAGTGGTTGATAATTATCAATGATGGTTAATGCGTTATACAATAATGTTTCAATTTCAGAAATGATGATTATTAATAATGGTTGATAGTGGTTGATAGTGGTCAATGATGGGTTAATGATGTGATATATAGTGGTTAATAGAGCGATATCAGGGATATTTAGTACATGGGAGACTTGATGGGACTAATCTTTAATAATGGGATATTCAATAAACATGTTTATAATGGTTAGTGATGGGATATGTAATGGTTGATAATGGAATATATTAATATATGATGGGAAATTTGGGAATAGTGTCAGCTAAGTCAGCGAACAGCACTCCAATAACTAGGGCTTGTGGAGATTATATCATATTAAATAATAGTATATCATATTAAATCATATTATATCATATAATATCATATTAAATCATATTATATCAAAAGATTATATTATATCATAATATATCATATTAAATCATAATATATCATATTAAATCATAGTATATCAAATTATATCATATTAGATCATATTAAATCATAATATATCATATTATATCATATCATATTGTATCATATTATAACATAATATATCATATTATATCATATGACATCGTATTATATCATACTACATCATATTACATCATATTATATCATATTAAATGATATTATACCATATTATATCATATTATATGATATTAAATCATATATCACACTACATCATATTACATCACATTATATGAAAATATATCATATTATATCATATTATATCATATATCACACTACATCATATTACATCACATTATATGAAAATATATCATATTACATCATATTATATCATATTAAATGATATTATACCATATTATATCATATTATATGATATTAAATCATATATCACACTACATCATATTACATCACATTATATGAAAATATATCATATTACATCATATTATATCATATTAAATGATATTATACCATATTATATCATATTATATGATATTAAATCATATATCACACTACATCATATTACATCACATTATATGAAAATATATCATATTACAACATATTATATCATATTAAATGATATTATACCATATTATATCATATTATATGATATTAAATCATATATCACACTACATCATATTACATCACATTATATGAAAATATATCATATTACAACATATTATATCATATTAAATGATATTATAACATATTATATCATATTAAATCATAGTATATCTACAGTTAAGGGGGATTCTGGTCCAACTAGGGGGCCACCAGCTTGTGAAAATTCCAGGATGGGGTCCATGGGACTTTCGCTACCAAGCATACTTTCTGGGGGATACATGGCATGGGATACTGTATGTATATGAAACAGGGATGCCATAGTTATATCTAACTATATGTAATTATCTCCCTGTTTCAGAATATGATAGAAGCAACATTGTTTTTACTGAAACAGGGAGATAATTGCCTATAGTTTGTGAGTTTCAGTGGCATACACATATATATATATATATATACATACAGAATCAACAATATGTGCCTTACATGAAATGAATGGGGTACGGCCATCCGACCATCAAATCTTTACTGAAAATGGGGGGATGACGGGATGACCATATCCGAACTGGTAAGCTAAGCATGGCACCAATGGCTTGGTCCAGAGATGAGTGCGTGACGCGCACTGGGTCCCCTGTGGTTTACGGTATTTTTGAGCTATGGGCTCAAAATACTTCGAAACGGTTCAAACAATTCAAACGGGCTCTACCTGTGAAACTGATGAAAAACAAGTGGATTTCGAGTAAATAGCCCCATTTTGTGGACCTCCCCACATCTCCATGGGAGATTTCAATTGCTGTCTCCATGGAATATGGGAATTTCCATTGCCAACTTCGCTCTGCGGAGATGCAGAAAATGTCGTGATATTGAGTCGTTCAGAATCCACGCAAAACAATACATCCAGTTCTTGAGGATCAATATTCTATTATAGTATAGATACTGTAGATCTGGAAAGGTTTGCCCATTAACGCAGAAACCTCAAGTTTGGGACATGGTAAATGCGTGAGTACTAAGACGGATACGCTGATACGCAGTGGTCTGATCAAGATTTCCATCAGCTGATCAAGATTTCCATCAGCTGATCTGTTGCTTTCCAGCTTGGCGTTGCATCCATCCATGAAATTCTAATATAAAGCGACACATGATTTCGCCAAGCCGATCCTATATAAATACGTTCCAACAAATGGCGATAGGTCAAGAACTAACGCATCTGGGTCCAAATGACTTTTCAAATGATTCATTCCAAATTGTTCCAAGAGAAGTGTGCTATATGATCATCATCATGATGATGATGTTGTTGTTGTTGATAATGATCATGATGACAACGATGATGATGATGATGATCAGCATCATCATCATCATCATGATGTTGGTGGTGTTGGTGGTCGTGGTGGAGATGACTGTGATGATGATCCATGGCCATCCCGCCTCCAAGGTGTCTTGACCTGGGACGAGCAGGGACGACTTGGTGAGTCGAACATCACCGAAATGCGGCTGGGCCAATGGGTCAAAACCTTGGTACCCGGATGGTACCCCAAAAGAGCTGATTAGTGGATGGTTATTCCCCCAAATATGATGGTAATAGGGTTTTGATCCATCCCCATATATCATCTTATAATGATAAACCTGGATGGGTGTTTAAGAACATGGGGGCATACCAGGCATACCATCCATGTCTTCTTTGTTTTGTTACTGGAAAAACCATGATGAAAACTATCAATTTTGATGGCCGCCAAAATGCCAACATCATTTTCAGGTACCAAATCCATTAGAAGCACATATCCCAAGTTAAATAATGTGTATATATATATGTATAGTTCATATATATATATATATATATCCAATATATGTATATGTAAATGATTGTACATGTATACGTATATAATTATATGTATGTATATATGTATGTAAAAAAATAGTGATAACTATGTTTCTTATCCAAAATAAACCCATGTCTCCTCTTTTTGGCCCAATCACCACTCTGCCGGCTCCAGAGCGGTGAGTGCCGGTGCTTGGCCACCAGGGGCCTGTCGGAGATGGTAGGATCTGCCACGAGATCTCATAGGACAATATAATCACGTATACTATATGCGTAGGATAATACATAGGGTAGTAACATTACAGAGGATAATAATGATAATACATAGGATATATATATATATATATATAGGATTCTATTAAATGATATGTGTCTATAATCTATAGATGTCTATCATAAATCTGTCGCATATTATATATCATGTCACTATTGTATAAACACATATATTATGATTCGAAAAAAAAAGTCTATTGACTGCATATATCTGAATATTGTACATATACAGGCGCATGAGATATTCCTATATATATAATTATATATATAATTATAAATATACACACTGTATATTGTATATATGTAAATAATTTTATGTCTGTATCATTATGTATAATAAATATATATATATATGGTTACACACACACATATATATATATATATATATATGTATAGGCCAAGATAGGCAAATACTAATGTGTCTGATATACATAGAGAAAACAATGAATGACATCGGTCCATAGGCCTTGGGTCCCTGCCTCCATGGACGCCAAGGCGCCAGATAGGCTCAGCCATAGGATCATGGTGTAGTACTGATGTCTTCCAGGGAAAAAACACGACTATGGACTATGTAATACTGTGTATGTATATCATTCGATCATATAACTGATCATGTATCATCATCATATCTTATCACATCTTATCTATACTGTATATGTGTTAGTTGTTCTTTTTGGTTTTCAGACCATAGTTGATGCTATATGGGTTGTTCGGGATGGCCATACTGCCTTACTCTGTACATCCACCTTCGGGTGTCTGAGTCTGAGCCCGGCCGTTCTTTGCCTGTCAGAGTATGAAAGGAGACACATTTTCGTCCGAGTTCGTACCTTGCCTTTTGCGTATGAATATGGAATACACGTATTATCATGCTGCCCTAGCTTGTTTCCAACTTCGCTCATGCGTGCCCTGCCATCATCCTTCCTCCGAGCTAGGCCACAATTTCACGGATTTGCGAGCATGCATGACGCACTTTTGGGCTGCTAGACTCTGCTATGTCAGTGGTCAAAAGGATACCAACCCGAATTTCCAAGTGTTCTTTCAAGACTTGCAGCATCAACTGCAACTGTTCTACTGGCGCATGGAACTTGAAAACGCAAATCCAGACGATGGCACAGTAATTAATTCATATCCGGAGCAAGGATCATTCCAATCAAATGAAACTTATATAACATATCTTGCCAATGTCAAATGTCACACAATTTCACTAGCTGTCTGCTAAGAAACCCATCATACTGTTGTCAGGGATGTTGTTCATGCCGAGATTCTGTCCCACTGAAGTTGTTGCTTACAGATCCAACGGTTTTTCCCGGTAATCCCGGTTTCATGCTTAGTTTCTGGGTGGAAATCAAAATATAGTAAATCACATTTACTTTGGGGGTTCCCCTTATAATTCTCACAATCGATGGTGACGTGGAGAGGTTGTTATAATTCATCCAAACAAATCGAATCACATCTCGGGCGCAACTAGCAATTTTTCAAATCTCAGTCAACTGCCTCGAATTCGGCGGCTTCCTGAGTGTGGCATGATCAAATCCATTGATTAAGCGTTGCGCTCAATCAACATTGGGTTGCAAGTTTCCAAACGGCTGGCTTGTGGACGATCGTGCATACTGAGAAAGTACACTATAAGTCAGACTTCAATCAATTTCAAGAACTTTATTTATTGCTTCATGCAACTAATCACCCAACATCACCCAACATCAAATGCTTAAATGTTGAAGCATGCGTTTGCAAATAAATCAACAGGATTCAAAAGAAGCATCAAACAACGAACCCGAACCCGCAATGGAACTCTGGTTTCTGTAGAATCAGTCTAAACAGGTCGAATATCAGGAACTATTTCACACTAGTTCCCCTTTCCATGTGAAACACATCGCAGCCCGTTTCAAACACCAAACTGGATTCCTCCAAGCTGCTCTGAGACTGCAACCAACACCCAAAGACCTGACCGGTGGGATAGACAACCCTGCTGAGGGGATAGGAATCTTCAGCCGTCAAATAGTACAGAAAGGTCTCCCTAACATACATCATAAAATACAGATATTATATATATATATGCTGGCTGGTGGTTTTAACCACCTTGAAAAATATGAAAGTCAATGGGAAGGATTGTCCCATATATTATGGAAAATGAAAACTGTTTGAAACCACCAACCAGTATAATTCATCAGATGTGGAATATGTCCATTGCTGCAGAGAAATGGTTAAACCTCGACTTTCGGGTTGCGACACCTCAGGAGCTGAGTATCAGCATCTTCAGCCGAAACCTGCGCTGATTCGGCGCTTTTTGGCTATCGCAGCTATGATGGCTATGGCAACCCCGCCCCCAAGAAAAATGGAAAACTCCTGGAAGTCGGAAATGATGGTTGATGATGGTTCAAATAGTGGCACAGCTCCGGCTTTCCTATTTGTTTTAATGATAATGTTTTAATGGTCTACTGATGGTTGCTGATGGTTATTTACTGTAAATGATATGACTGCCAACCAGCACATCTAGGGTTTGGCCTGAATGACACCGAGGTCCAAACACCATTCACCACACTACCACCAGCACTGCTGAGACTACACAGGAAATAAAAACACATGGATGTTTTTTAAATGTTTTTTTCAACCAAACTGGTGCAAAACAAAAACATGTTCCACTCAGAAATGGGCAATACCGCATTGTGTGCCCATTTCGAAGTGTTCCGATCTTTGCGGCATCCACCAAAATGGTCGCCCCATCACAGCCTGGGCATTGTCTTCGAGTTTCCCAAAGAGTTTTCCAATGCTGAATTCCTCAGCGTGTCTTTCGGTGCACTGCCATGTGGCCCTCAAACTTAGACAAGATGCCCGATTTTATGCCCGGAAGATGTTCAACTTACATAGGTCCAAATGTGGGTACTCAAGCACCCCAAACAAATATATACACATATATCAGATTGGTGGCGCCATGGTATACACTGACGAACACCCCTTTGTGTTATGCTTGTTCCTCCACAAGAACCAGCAGAGTCGATCGCGACTGAGCCCATGAATCCACCAATTCACGATCGAGAATCGCTCCTTGGGACCTTCATCCGAGAAGTTTTTTCTTTGAACTCCTCGAACTCGCTAGTGGTCAACAAACAGTTTTCCAATAGTTCGACCTGGGACATGGTGTGCAAATGAGGTGCAAATCAAACATAGCTGCCATCAGCACTGTGTATATGTATATCATATATATATAGTGTATATGTATATATATATATATTATATCTATATGTACAACACTGTGCATATGTATATAAATGTCAAATGTATATATATATAGATTGTGTATGTGATTCTGGCAATCCTATCAACAGCGATCAATGTGGATGTAAAGGATCTATGGATATCTATGGAATCTACGGGATCGTCCATCCAGACAACGACTCCCCAGAGGGTGGACAACAACCATTGACCAAAAAGTTTCAGCATGCACCGGAAGCCCCCGGACCCCCTGTATCAATGTTGCTAATCATCACTTCTCAATGGCCGGAGCAAGAACGGCTGTTTTTTGAAGGCTCCGCCAAGCGCTGCTTCCACACAACATTGAAATTGGGGGACCAGGGGTGTCTAACTGTCCTCGCTAGAGTTCAAGTTGGATGGTTGTTTTTTTTGAAGAACCCGGTATGATTCATATGATCGTAGCAATTGTTGTGTCAGAAGTTGGGAGAAAGTGTAAAAACTCTTGGATTAGGAACTTTGCCTCTCCTCCAATGCTTCAGAGATCGAAGATGATCCGGTGCTACACCCTGCAGTTGAGATGCCTAGAAGAGGAAATTAAGAAAACACTGCATTAAAAAACAAACTTCTTGTTGGGTGTGTGCCTCACATGTCATGTTTGTTGATAACCTGAAGTTGCTTTGCCTTAAAACATCTTATAACAATGATTCACATGTCATACATCTTGATAATGTAATCATGTCTTCCATCCCCATCATCTGTGTACAACATGCTCAATGAGGGTATCATTTTTTCCAACAGAATTAAAACATACATATGGGGACCTAATGATCTTCATGACCATTGGATTTTGAAGCTTTGCGCAACATTTTCCCAACATGTTCCGAATTTTGGCCAGGGAACGATGGTTTTCTGGTCCATTTCAGCCCCAATGAAGACCAGCTCTAGCCTCACAATCCAAGGATTTCCACAGGCTGCGCTGTGGAGAAACCAATGCTCTTTCCGGAGCAACGGGGACACATCTAGAGGGAAACGTTGGATTGGTTAGAGTTCGAGTATCAACTTTCGTTGCCACAGTATATTCTAACTGCGCGAAAACGATGCGTTTCGAGTCGCTTGATTGGCACTTGATTGGATTGGATGGAAATGTGAAAAACCAAGTTGCACAGAAACAAACACATGATCTTCCTGCATGGTTCCCCTCACATTCCTAATACCATGTCAAGGACTTGAATTTGAGGAACACTCAGAAGGTCAGAAGTTACCGTCTGACACTGACACCAGCCCGGACATGATCAGAAAGTCGGAAAGTATACAGGAAGTAAGTTGCCAAGCATTGCCAAACTATTACTTGCAACATAATCATGGGTTGAAAGTAGGGCAAACTTCGGTGGCAAATACATATATCCTACTTTCAGACAAACCCCTATACTTTGTTTTGATTAAGTCACCATGTTTTATGGATTAAGTCAGGTCAATTAAGTCACCACTTTGTAGGTTTAAACCACCATTTTACGGGGTGAAGTGGGATCCTCTTCACGCCTGCAATCTCCCCAGTCCACATGCCATTTCTTCTGCAGTTCTCGATACTCGGTCTCAGCTCCTGAAAAAAAACGACTTTCTCTTGGGAAAATGA